CTTGACCAGGAGAATTTTTTGGTTTCTGGATTTATTGTTCTATAAGTGTTACAAAGCTCCTGTCTTGTTAACTACTTGAGAAGAGGATCTTGTTTTTCTGCCTTTCAGTTTGGGTTATCTGATCTATCAAGTTTATTATTAACTACACTATTGAAGTCTTCCATTATTATTACCTGTGTTCTTTGTGATCATTTGATGTATTTTTCTATTACTGCTCTTTGAATTTTCTTATGTTTTTCTTTGTTATTAAGTGGCATATATATTATTATGATTAATATTTCTAGTTGTTTGAATACAAAGTTGGCCATAATTATGGTTTCATTTGTTCTATCTATTACTCCAAGATGTTTTTCCCAGTGTTCGTTAATAAGTATGCCAACACCCAAGCCCTTTTTCTTTCCTGGATTTGAATTTGCCTAAAAACTCTTATATTCCTTCATATTTTTCATAATAAAAAAACCTTCTTTGCTTGAAATGTTTGTTTTTGATAGTCCAATTATATCCATTTCATTGTCAATTAGCCATTCATATAGTGTTTTCATTTTTTGATTATTTCTCTTAAGGCCATTGATATTATGCGCTGCTATATTTAAGTTGGTTCCTTCTATGTTCTTATTTCTTTCTTTAGTCTTTTCTTTAATTTCTTCTAGATGTAATATATTTTTTTGATTTGTAGTTTGTTTTCCCTTTTTCTGTATTGAAAAGACTTTTGTTTCTACATCCTTGTTCTTTGGTTCAACTGCAGCAAAAATTAGGAGCATTGTGGCCATCCTATTTTAGTAAAAGTTTTAAATTGTACTTTTTGTATTTTGAGTCTTTTAAGCCTAGTTAATATGCATTGTAAAAGGTCTTGTATTTGTGTTTAATTTTTTGTATTTATATCTTTTCTGTTCCTTCTTCTATTTTTATATTTTTTGCTTTCTTGAGAATCTACACTTTTATAATCTTCAGAATTAGTGTCTTGACCAGATTCGTCTATATCTTCATTTCTTCTGTATTTAAACTTTCTCTCTTTTTTGTTTCTCTCTTTTCATCTATTACTCAATAAACTCTAAAGTTGTTGTATCTGATTGGTTTGGTTTGGGCTGAGTTCATTTCCTCTTTTGTTACAAAAGTGATTGTTGCTGTTCTTCTTTGATTCATATTTCTATTTGATAGGATATAAACAGACTTTGCACCCTTGTTTTTTAAACATCATAGCAAAAGTACTTCTGATGCACTTCTAGAAAGTTCTGTTAACTTTGCTGTAAATTGGCTTTGGCGATTTTTTTCTTCATAATCTTTATCCCCTTTCATTACTCTTACTAGTTTATTATCATCTATTGGTAATGACCAAGGTATGTCTTTATCTTCATATTTATCTGTTTTGATTACTGCCAATGCTTTGTACTTTGATTTTTTGATTCTAACTATATTGGCCTTTTTGATTTTTCTGCAAATAAAATTTAATTCTGTTCTATTTATGTTTGCTGGTAGGTCCCAAATAGTTAAATAGTTTGCGTAAATTTCTTCTAGTTCTTTTTTAGTAAGGAGATTTTTATATTCATCTTTTTCTTTATTCGATTTATGTTCAGGTTGCTTTTCTTTAGCATTTGATTGCTTAAATTGGTCTTTTCTTTATTTTTATTTTTTTTCTTCTCTGAAATGAGCTTAAGTTATTCTCCTTCTTTTCTACTAATTCTTTTGATTGCTTTATCTCTACTGTGCTTACAATCAAAGTCAACTTCAATCCAATTATTTTCTTTTTTAAAAGCTTCTTTAATTGTTCTTATATGTTTGTTTTCTCCTAGAATCCATCAAACATATTTGATTTTTTCTTCTTTTGTTTCTCCAGGTAGTATATAGGTAGGGAAATTGCCTTTGAAGGACTTGTTTCCTGTACATGTTCTGCATTTAGAAGACCAATCACTGTGTTCAATTGAGGCTAAAGATGAGGTGAAAGACAAAGAGAAAGAAGAGGTAGGCAATGATATAAGGTCTTTTAACTCTATTTGTTTAATTTCTGTTGGTTCTACTAGTATGTTTTCATTAACCTTTTCTTTTCCAACTTCCATTCTTATTTCTGTAAAGTAGTTTGTATCTGCTTCTTGGTATTGCTGTTCTATATTAAGTTTTTTAATTCAGCTTGTTATGACTTTAACATCTGTACTCAATTCTGTTTCATTAATAATTGCTTGACATCTTTTCTTTGAGAGTATATTATTGTTAAGATTCTCTTTTTCATTTTGATTTTTTTCTACTCCTTTCATTTTTCCTTCTTCTTTTTGTATTTCCTTTTTGCTTATACCTACTGTATATTCAACTGATGCTGGGTTAAGATTTGCCATTCTTATTTTGTTGGCCCAATCTTTAATAAACTTTTTTGGTAAAGTTATTATTACTTCTGTTTTAACTTTAAGCACTTCAAGTATTTGGTCATATAGTGTTAAGTCTTTTGTTGTAATATTTTTTGAGTCATTAATTGCTAGACCTTTTGCTATAATTTTGATGTCACTTGGGTTCTTGTACATGGTTGTTCTTAGTACTTGATCCAACTTACAACTATTTAAATATCTACGAACTATATCACCTGTTCTTTGTATATATTGAATTAAAAATTGATCATGAAGCATTTCTATTGTGATTTGTATATCTGTTTTTAGACTATTCTATTGATGTTTAGAAACCTCTATAGTTTGTTTATTGTTGATTTTGCTAATATGTTTATATTTCCTAAATAGAATGTGTTTGCTCTGTGTATTTTGTTTATCAAAAATTGTTGATATGTGTCACGTGTTTATTTACTATTATTCAGGGTCTAAGTCAAATCCCCAAATTTTTCAAAATTTTCATCTCAATTTTACAAGAGTCCAAAATTTTCTGTTGTGCTACTATTTTTTCTAGTTGTTGTTCTAACTAAGTCTATTTCTTTTTTCCTTCTTAAAATTATTTCTTAGTTGTTCAAAGTGTCATTCTTAGTCTAGTTTTCTACTTTCTTTATAATTTGGATTTTGCTTTCTTATAAAAATGTAGATTAGCAGAAAGAGTTTTTTGCTTGCTTAAGAAAGTATATTACTAAAATTAATTATTAAATTTTTATTATAAAAATTAATTTTAAAAAATTAATACAAGTAAATTTGCCTGTATTATAATTTTTGAATATCAATTTATATAATTTTGAAGATAATTGAATTTTTGTAAATAATAATAAGTACTAATTTAAATAATTTCAAAGATAATTAATTTTTTGTAAATAACAATATGTATTAATTTAAATATTTTGAAAATAATCGTTTTTTGTAAATAATGTTATATATTGATTTAAATAATTTTGATTATAATTGATTTTTTAATAATATTGATATATATCCATTTATTGATATATATTAATTTTGATATATATCAATTTATAACTATTTTGCTAATATATATTGTTATAAAATGAATTATTATTTTATTATTATTACTATTATTATTATTTTATTATTAGTATTATCAAAAAAGAAAATTTACAACTCTTTCTGACAATCTCTTGCACCAACTTTTTCCAAAAGTCTGACCTATAAAAACTATATAGTTATTATATTTAAATATAACAAAACTCTACTTTGGAATAACTAGGGAGGCTATTCACTGCATGCTTGGTTGTAACTGAAAAGAGCTGAAAAAGATTTGAACCCTTGTAAGCAAAGTCTCTTAGTAAAACTCAAGTACTACTAAGCAAAGAAGTAGTAAATAAGCTCTGGAGCTTTGTCAAGTACTATAAAGGCTTAGGCCTAAATAGTTACTTGGTTTAATATAATATTCTATATAGCATAACTCTTACAACTCCTTTTCAAGTTGGCTCTCCTTTCCATCTTACTACTGGATTTTTCTTTCGGAATTTTTACCAAAAAGTGGAAAATCTGGCGTACCTTCTCCAAAGGATCGGCATTGTTTACCTTCTCAAATTGAGAACGTTAGTCACAAGAAAACCACGAGACGAGTACCGGACCTATGATGGATGACATATGTCAAACTCAAGAGGAAAATAAAAACTTTGACCATTCTTCCCACGTGATAAATGAAATATATTATAATACGGAGATAAAGTAAATGTAGGGTATTCTTTATTTAGTATTATATAGAATTTTTAAAGCCTAGCATAGGCAAAAATAGTGCCTTTATGTTTTTTGTTTTTTCTTTATTCTTCTTTTTTTTATCTTTTTCTTTTTTCTTTTGGTTTATATTTAGGTTTTGTAGTTAGTTCCCCCTTTTTTTTTACTTCCTTTTAGTTTTTCTTTCTTATATTCTGTTGTTCTTTAGGCAAGGATTATAGAATCCTTTTACTTGATAATTAAAGAAGAGGAAAAAATGAATCGAAGATGAAGCTAGGAAGACAATTTTTGGAGCTTGTCATGAAAGGAGGAAGATCCTTTCATTATGGACTTTAAGTAGTCAGACGAGTGATTTACTTCTGCTTGAAGTAATGTGACAGGTTGCACTTAGGCGCCATTAGGGTAGCCGGGTGATGCTATACTTATTTGTAAGGTAGTTTTATGTAATTGTAGCAATTGCAAAAAATCTTAATAAAGTACTAGCGTGACTGTCTAAAGGAAAAAAAAAAAATTATTAGTATTATTTAGAATTAGTTATTTCATTATTGTATTATTATTATTATTACTAGTAGTTGTTAGAACTTTTTGGTCACTTAGTAATTGCTTAGTTACTTAGTCACTTAGCTGTTTAGTCACTTAGTTGTTTAGTAATTAGTTGTTTAGTAATTATTAGTTATTAGTTGCTAGAACCTTTTGGTTACTTAGTAATTAAGTAGTCACTTAGTCACTTAGTTGCTTAATGCTTAGTTGCTTAGTTGCTTAATTACTTAGTTACTTGGCTGCTTAGCTATTTAGCTTACAGATATATAAATTTTGCTAAATTTTCCAAGTGTGATTAGACAACAAACACCACTCTTTTTTTTAATATTGTAAACATATCTTGAGATTCTTTAAGAACAGAAACCTAAAAATAGCCATTTTTGTTATTACTTAATAAACAGCTTTTGACTATAAACTGTATTGATACTTTCTCTTTAGGATAATTTTTACAGACAAGGTTTATCTTCTCTTAGTGAAATAAAGTAAAGTTATTAGTATTGCATTACTTTTTTTGAACTGTTTCAGAAAAGAATATAGTTTCTTAACAACATCTAATAGAAGCTATACTTCTCTCTTGGACATCACATATATCTATAAGGAATTCTTTGTGCTATATCATCATTATAGTATAAATATCAAGAAGGCTTTCACTTATAATATTTGAAGCCTTCTGGTAAAAAGATTAAATTTTTAGAAGAAAACAAGTCACTTTAGACAAAACATTTTTGAATGTATTAGAAAAGTTATCTTGACAAGAGACCTAAACAAGTATTAGTTATTCTGATAAGAGATCTGGATGAGTATTAGTTATTCTGACAAGGGACTTAGATGAGTATTAGTTATCCTAGCAAGAGATCCAGATAAGTATTAGTTATCCTAGCAAGAGATCAGATGAGTATTAGTTATTCTAGCAAAATTTCAGACATAGATACATCTTTTTTTTTATAGTTTACATTATTGCTAAACTCTACAATAAGAACATCTAAAGCTATCAACAAGCACATCTAACTGGATCTCATCTTGCAATAGATGTACTTCAAGCATAATATCCAGATTTATCTTGTCTTCAGTATTACTTCCCTTGACATACTAGCTCTTGCTCAGATTTTGAACAATTTTGAACTTGGTACCAAACAAACTTTGCAGCTTAATATTATTTCTTCTAAACTTAGAACAACTTTATCACTCTTATTACTCTTTATTCAAACCAAATTACACTTTGCTTTTGCATTAGAGATATTATTTTTAGTTATCAATACCAACAAGACATTGGTAATTCTAAAACAATTGTTTTAACTCTAATTAAAAAATATATCAATCTTTTACAACTTTCTATCTTACCTTTTGAATATCAAAACACTTTTGATTTTTATTTCAATGCTCTTCTAAGTTTTAGTTTTGAAGAACCAGAAGAATTTAGTTAACATCTTAAAAATTTAGAAAGTTATATCTTACTACCTACTACTGATATTACTTTTATTAATAATATTCTCTTTTTACATAACTCAGCAGATAGCTTAGCTCTATATAGTGAATTAGTTACATCTACTGAGCTTTCTAAAAGTCATTACACTCCTAATTGAACTTTACAAATCTCTTTATTACTTACTGACAATTTAAAAACAGAAGAATATATTACTGCTTCTGTAAACCTTACAGAAATCTTTAGCTTAAATTACACTTCTATGGACTCACCTTAACAAACTCTTAAAGATAGTCCTCCTTTTTCATCTTCACCTTAACTTGCTATTCCTCTACTTCAATTTATTACTGTTCAACCTTAACTTATTCAATCTCAACCTCAACTTTTTTTTCTATTTCCACCTATTCTTGATAATCTTTCTGACCCACTTGATAACATGACACAACAAGCTTTACAAGATGCTGTACAAGCTATAGCTAACCTTATTAATGCTCTAAATAAAAATGAAAAAGCTCTTATGAAAGCTGACTTTTTTTATAGTGATGAAACCCAAGACCTAGAACAATAGCTCAAAGATTTTCAAAGGACTGCTATTGCTAACAAGTAGGATGCTGCTCGAAAATTGGAACTTACCTTTGTATATTTAAAAGGAATTGCATTAGATTGGTAGTTAAGTTTTAACCCTGTTCCAAATGCTTTTGATGATAATGTCAATCAAAACAGAAGCTTTAAATATCTTTTTAAGCTTTGCTTTCACATGTCTAAACAAAAAGCTATTTGGCAGAAACAGCCTTTTAATATCAAACAAGGCCCAAATACAGTAAATGCCTATATCAATTGTTTTAGACAATTGAAAAGATAAGTTAACCATAGTGATGCTTTTTTTGTTAACTTCATTAAACAACTATTTATTTAAAAACTATGCTCTAAATTTTCTATCAATATGCAAGTTACTGAACCTACTAACCTAAATGCTGCTATTATTACTATAAAACAATAGGAAACTGGATATATAATAGCTGCCAATACTACTACAGAAACAGACCAAACTGTTAAACAACT